AGATAGACAAGAATATGAGAACTCTTTAAAAATAACAAAACACCTAGACGTTAGAAGTACACCGTACTAAATTTTGTAAAACGTTTTAAATGTATTTTAAAACTGAAATCTTGTGCAAACTTTTGCCTGCAAAGCCCGCTCTTTCCGCCCGCGCGATTTGTCTAACCCGCCCGCCTCATTAGTGTACAAATATGTCGTACGTTAATATATGGCATGCACCCAAGCGTCGCTAATGACTGGCAACACATAGCAACGTATATAACGACCGCATATTTGATAAAAACATATTTTTATGGTAAAATGTATCACAACTGTTCTAAAAGTTTTTTCCTTCAAGTATTCTTGATAAGCTTTCTTATGATCTGACTCGGTCATCTTAACAGTATATATGTATGTAGGAGGTTTGTTAAATAATGTTAAGCCATTATTATTTAAAAATATTTAAAAACGGTAGTCCTTCAGGGCACATAGGCACCTGCTTTTCAAGGAGCCGTTTGCAAACTACTTAAATTGACAATACAAATATAAATTAATTTACAACTATTACACTACCTATATTACTAGTTGCATAGATTACTAATTACTAATTACAAGAACACATCAGCTGCGGTCAAGAATAGATTTAAATTTACTAAGGCTGTTTTGTTCCTTAGCTAAACTTGGTAAGCTGTTCCATAAGGACGCAGCCGAGTAACTAATACTCTTTTTCATAAAATTTGTTACTGGCTTTCCAAGGGAGAAGTTTATATTGTTACTACGCAATTGATACACTTGGTTCTCTTTGATTTTAAACATTTCTATTACTGATTGTGGCATGACGTTATTTTTTATTTTGTGCATAAAAATACATTTGTTTCTCTTTAGTCGTTCGCTTAAGGGCTGCCAATTTAGCTCTTTTAAAACATCTTTAGATCTGGTTTCATATGTTCTGCCCGTAATCACCCTCGCAGCCCTATTTTGTAATTTTTGCAGTTTGTTTAACAGATAATCGGAACAATTATCCCAAACAAGACTGCAATAATCAAAATGTGACAGCACAATAGCATTGTATACTTTTAACAAGGTTGATTGTGGAACAAATTTCTTTATTCTCCGAATCATTCCTATAGCTTTTGAAGATTTTGAAACAATACTTTGTATTTGGTCGTTCCACGAGAGGTGCTCATCAACAATGATCCCCAAAGTTTTAGATTTGTTGACTCGCTTTATTGTTGAGTCACCAAGTTTGACTATAGGATCTGTTGAAATGTTTGAAATGCGTTGTCGTGAGCCAACAATCATGTATTCAGTTTTCTTTTTATTAAGAGTGAGTTTATTCGAAGTTAGCCATTGGTGCACATTTTCTAAATCGGTATTTAAGCGTTCTTGTATTTCAGTGTCAGTTTTACCTTGAGTAGAAATATTTGTGTCATCAGCAAACATACTTGCCGAGAATAATGATAGACAGTTCGGAAGGTCGTTTATATATAGAAGAAACAGCAAGGGGCCTAAGTTAGAACCTTGTGGTATGCCACATTTAACCGTTCTTTCATTAGATGTAATTTGATCCACCTTGCAAATTTGTATCCGATTAGTAAGATAGGATTGATACCAAGCTAGATCACGACCTCTTATTCCATAATAATCCATTTTTGTTGTAAGTATATTATGATCTACACAGTCAAACGCCTTTTTAAGGTCAAGGAAAATAACTCCATTCAAACACCCCTATCCATATTTAGCAGCCATTGATTTGTTGTACGAAGGAGAGATGTTTGAGTGGAGTGTTTCCTCCGAAAACCTGCTTGTTGTTCTATGAGTAAACCGTTAGATTCTAAATACGTATTAAGCTGTTCTGAAATTAATTTCTCAAATATTTTTGCAACACATGATAAAACTGAAATTGGTCTATAATTATCACATATTAATTTGCTGTCAGATTTATGAATTGGCGAGATTATAGCAATCTTAAAGTCGTCAGGGAAAATGCCCAAGTTAATTGAAGCATTAAATATCGCTGCTAATGAGGGAGCATTTCTTCAGCCGCATCTTTGAGAAGTTTTGGCGGAATTCTATCGTGTCCTGCTGATTTTGATGTTTTCATTATGGAAAGTAATTTGTATATTTCCATTTGAGAAACATTTTGTATTGAGAATTCTGTGCTTGTATAAGTTAAATAGGATTCTGGCGTCCTACCGCTGTTCGGTATTTCATTAGCTAATTCTGGCCCGACTTCACTAAAATATGTGTTTAAAGCATTTGCAATTTCAGACTTTTTAGTTAAAACTTGATTACCTTGATGGTTTCAGAGATTATGGTAGTTTTTGAGCTTTTGTTAGTAAGTTTATTAACCGCTTTCCACATTTCTTTAGAATTATTATCGCATTCGTTCAAGGTATTCATAAAATACTCAGCTTTTGTGTTTTTAATTAACCTATTTAAATCGTTTCGAGTTCTCTTATACGCATCATGAAATTGTTTCGATTTTGTTTTAACAGCCTTTTTCTTTAAGTAATCTCTTTGGCGCATGACTTGTCTAATGTTGTTTGTTATCCACGGAGCATATTGGCTTCTTACTCTTTTAGTAATGGGAGGAGCATGAAAATCAGCGACAGTTAAAAATCTTGTTTTCCATTTTTCCCACATTACGTTTGGATCAAGCGTACTGTTCAAAAATATTTCATCGTTTAAATATGTAAAAGTATCTGCCTTAAAATTATTGGCATTATATTGCTTATATTGCCTAGTTTTGACAATCTTAGGTTCCCCACGGAGAATGGAAATACTTCTTTGGATATGAATCATACTATGGTCGCTGATTCCCAGATGAATGACTCCTGAGCCATTAATTAATTCAGGTTTATTTGGAAAGGCTAAATCGATTAGTGTATTAATAGCATAGTTGCCCGGGTTTCTTTTGTTTCAACAGGGTCGATTACTAACTAATCGCTGTAGCGGGCGTTAGTTCTAATCGCCGTCAATTGTCTATCATCCGATCCCTGAGTTGCCGCATCATTTAAATTACGCACGGGCAGTCTCCAATTTTATACTAATATATTTAGCGTTTTTGTTGTGGTACGTTAAATGATAGATTGCGCATGCGTAACCGATTAAAGCGTAAAAAGTGCGCATGTGCAACAAGCTTTTACATCCCACAAGCAATGAAGCAAATGTTTTAGCTTAAATACGCTGATTCCAAGTAGGGCATGTTTGTCCATTTTTAAATGGGAGCGCAACTATGCTATTACTAGGTTACCCACAGGGCAGTAATGCTGCCTTTGACAGCAAAAGACAAACTACAGGGTGTTGAACGAGTTCTTCAGAAACATCCTACCACTGACTGAGTATTAAAAATCGTCTGGCGTTGGACAGGGTAACTACTAAAGTAGGGGTCATTACTGTGTTGATGAATTAACAAGAGCCATTGGCAGATAGGTTTGTTAACCCATTTACTGGCAGTACCCTATACCACTGACGAGTAAAATCGTCTGGCGTTGGACAAGGGAAGGGCGCATTGCCAGCTAATGGGTTAAACCGCTGTGGTTTATAAACATAAGATTTGATGCTCCAGGAAATGTAAACAAGCTATCAGTGTGACATCCCAGTTTATATATTTATATACTCGGAATATTGATTTCTCGGTATATACAAAATTATTTTAAAGTATAACAACCAGCGAAGACGTAAGCCACTAACTACCCTGCGCGGCTGCGCGCAGACTGTATAATGACATATATATGTCATCCGTCCGGTCCGTCCGTCGCCATCCGTCCGTCCGTCATTCTGTCCGTCCGTATCCGCGTTTTATCCTAACCCGTTTTTAAAACACAAAGTTTGCATAATTAAGGCAGTGCGGTTCGTCATGATCAACATTTTCAAAAGCGGCCAATTAGACCAGGGGTTAAAGGGCAATGACAATGACATGCAGGTGACATTTAACATTGCGTCTCACTAATTAAAATTTGCGTGTTTAATAATGTTTATCAAAGAAAGCAAAAATGTATACAAGACAATCTCACATGTGGAATTTTTTCACTTACGTACTGCCTTGTGATGCAGTACAAGTATAAATACAAATGACAAAGCATTTGTAAATCCTAAAACATAATTAAATCATACGGCACATTTAAGATTTTAATATCGTATTTCAGCCGCGTTTATACTGTTTGGCGCATTCGCTGCGTTATATTCATTTATATACACAGAAAAGCATGTCATTGTCCATGCAGACCATAGGCAAAAAGCATTTGTCAACCACATACCAAATTTAAGCAATCGTTAAATCATATACATGTCATGGAAAGAATATGGAAATAATGTTGAATGAAAGCTAGCATCGCGTATAATATTAGAAGCACCGCATATAGTGCTCGAACCACTGCGTATAATTGCAAAAGCACCGCGTATATAAATGGTGAAAGCACCGCGTATAATACTGGAACCACCGCGTATAATGGCGAAAGCACCGTGTATAATGCCGAAAGCACCGCCGTATAATGCTAAAAGCACCCAACAAAATGCCGTTTGATCACTCTAAGCCAGCTATGGGTTTCCATAAAAGAAGACCAAAGATGAAAGATGATCACATTGCCTGTTTGCCTTATGCCTGACCGCGCTGCACCACGGTTAAAATTCACTGGCACCGTCATGCAATGCGCCAAATAGAAAATTTTGATTTCGACCCACAAAACAAAATTAGGATCTGCTGCCTTGCTCGCTCGCTTCAGGCTCGCTCGCTGCGGCAGCAATAAACTGGAAGGCTAACTCAGGGGGGGGAATTGAAGCCAGTGCATTTTAGTTTTTCTGAGTTATGAGCAGAAATACTCAACACTGAACGTTGGGCTATATATCAAATTGAAGCTATTGAAAAACTCTATTTGGTGTAGAAATTTCAAGACTTTTGCTAAAAGGGAAATATTGAAAAACTACAAACATAATTACCGATAATTTGCCGTTTTGCAGTTGTTTTTGTATTTTTTAAAGATTTTTCTTTTCGCTGAAGTCTTGAAATTTCCACACCGAATAGCAATTTTCAATAGCTTCAATTTGATATATAGCCGACGTTTGGGGTCAAGTATTTCTGCTCATAACTCAGAAAAACTATTTTGGCTTCATCAAATCATAGGCCTTCATCATAGCAGTTAGCCTTCCAGTTTATTTATAGTTCAATGGGATCTGCCGCCTTGCTCGCTCGCTTCAGGCTCGCTCGCTGCGGCAGCAATGACTATTAAAACAACATTGCTACATGATTGTACTTGTTTTAACTATTAGCGTTAACTGCCAGGCAAACTGCAAACTTCAAGAATCAATATTTTCGGAAAAACAAGCACGCTCTTCTTTAGTGGTATTACTAAGCAATTATTGGATGAGGCTGAGCATGATATCAACAATTATTCAGACCGAGGTCAATGTTATCTGCCGAAGCGAAGCTGAGGCGGATAACATACACCGAGGTCTGAATAATTCTTGATATCATGCGAAAGCAGAATCCAATAATTGTTTTATTATACATTTAAAGACATGAGAAACGTATAAAACGATTCCTGTTCATGAGGTAGGAAAAGTACAATGTGAATATCAAACATCTTGCACAAAGTCAAAGGTCAGCTAAATATTATATTTCTACTTCTATTTACCCCTTTGTGGCTTTTTTCGTGCTTTCAGTATCCTTATCTGCCAATAATTTGGAGAGTTCACTTTCATTCAGCGAAGCAAATCTGCTGTCGGCCATTGTTTGGTTTTTTTTCGCGCGCTTATAGGTTCAAGCTTTTGGCCGCGCAAGGGTTTGGGCACGAGAGAGTCCAATAATTTTTTTTTTGGATGCAAGTTCGATCCAAAAAAACAATTATTGGACGCTGATGACGTCATCGGCGGAAAATACGTAATAAATGCCGAATACTGAAAATTAGCCGGTGCTTTCTGACCAATTAGAAACGAGAATACATATTAAATGTATAATAATTGTGCTTAAATTGCATATTTCCATCGCCCCAGCGACTTTAATAGCGCTCCGTGGAGCGTCTTGTTTATAATATGTTGCCACCAGATATTCCCCGAAGAATAACGAGATGTTCGTGGTTGTTGATATTTTTGAATGCTTGTTTAATCTTTATAATTTTTTTGCTCGAGACAAAGACAAAGTAAAATGTACTCTACGTTTCCAGTGTATAGAATATCTCGTCTGAACAGCAATAGAATCATAATCTTGACACAAACAAGAAGACATTTGACATGCTAAATCTGCAGAGGTAAAGCCAATCGTCGCGAGCTTGACAGCCTTGTCAAACGCAAAACAAGTACGAATTTGGGTTCAAACAGAAAGAAGTTCAATGATAATACAACTAACATATATTCTATACAAATACGGGTGGTTTAAAATGTTTTCAATTGAATTTTCAAAGCTTTTATCTATCGACATGATAATCAAACTGTGAAAATGCCAGCTTTTGTTGACGCTTGCGAATGCAAAATAACTTCCCGTAAACAGAGCATTTCTACACAAAACTCTCGCTTAGTCTTCTAATGTACTTGTATGTTCGGTTCTACTAGTTAAACAAGGAAAATATCCAAGAAATACTGGTAAATTATCGTTTTCAAAAAACATTTCAGTGCTCAGTCAGTACAAGGTCTCAAGGCCAAGGGCAAGGTGAAGTTGTCGATTTCATTACATTTTACAGTACTTCGCAGCCTAGACCTAGGCCTTCTATTTTTATTTATATTTTTTAATATTCAGCGCTTTTTCACATGAAAAGGCTGGGACCTCTGGACTGGGACTAGGTGATTTGGGGGCGGGGCGGAGGAAGGACGCAATAGAAGGCCTAGTCCTAGTGGATTTCCCAACAACAAGGCCAAAACCATTCTCGTACCCAGAGCCCTTCTTACGCGCGGTGCGACGACGGGCTCTGGCCAAATCCATAACCGGATACCATAAAAACATGGTAAGAAAACAATGTCCGGTGTTAGAACTAGCCAATCAGATGCCAGTTCGGAATATGGATTTGGCCAGAGCCCCTCGTCGCATCGCGCGTAAGAAGGGCTCTGGGTACGAGAATGTGCCAAAACTGCCCTGAAACTGCCCTGGTTGCGAAATGCCCAATTATTGCGTTCTCAACCAGAATTATTTGCAACTTAACAGCGAATTTAAACCGATACAGGTAAAATAAACTCATTTTTAGTATAAACTTACTATTTTTATTTGTATACACGTCTAGAAAATCGGGTTTTTTATCATAAAGTTTGAAGCAACACTATTATTATGTTGACAAGCTGTAGCGAAAGCACAAAATGAGTCAAAATATATACCAAAAGTAGAATCTTTCATGAAATATTGTCTTATACACAACTACATTAATATTGGGGATGATCAATAAATCTCATCATCATCATATATTTTCTCAATTTTAGCAAGAGCAGTCTTGTGTTTGTAAAATATACAAATACATATACTAATACAATTATAATTTATTAAATAAAACGGATACATATATTATTAGGCCACTACAAGTTAATATTTAGTTCCTGGTCCGCCGCCCGCGTCCTTTCTCCGTAACTCGGTATTGTTTCAGGACTATTTTGTTATTTACGATTAATTTCTAGTTCTTGAAAATTTTCGCGGAGGATTTAACTTATAGAACGATAAATATTCAATTTACACTAAAAAGACCTAAAAGAATGTAGTATTCAATGGTAAAAACCGCTGCCTTATTGAGATTACGAGGTAAAAAAACTAGAAATATTAATAGATCATTTTGATATGTAAAATCCTTTGTAATCTATCATACATGTCGATTTATAAATAATATAAATGCAAATTATGTAAAATTTCATAACATTTTGATACTATTAGCATGAAAAGGGACAAGAAAGACCACAAAAATGTGGGCAAAGCCACAATTGTAATTATGTCCTATAGTCCTAACCACCCGCCCGCCCGCGTCGTAAACGAAGGTAAGGCCGGACCAGAAACTAAAGATTATAACTTGTAGTGGCCTTAGCCCGTACAGTACTGTATAAAACGTACATTGTTTACAAATGGTATATCCGTAATACTTGAATAATAATTTCAAAATCCTCATTCCCGATTCGCAAATATAGTTATTCAAAGCAAAACAGTAGATTGTCTTGCGAATAAAAGAATTATTTCGAGTATAAATCAGTGCATGTACAAAATTGTTGGAACTTTAAAGGCTAATAGGTTAGTTTAGTCATAAAATATTTTTATAGTTAATGTAATAACTACTGGACAATATAAATTGCTTTAGTTGTTGGTTTCTGATCAATTTCGGATCAAGAAGTTATATGGGGCTAATTTGAGAACTTGTGAAATCTACTAGGCCTTTACGAGGCAAATGACCATTGCGATAATTACCAAATGCTAGCCGGAAATTGACCAAACCTGCCAAAGATACCTGCCAAAGCCAGCCGAGTAAAGGCCTAGGTCTAGGCTGAGTACTTCGAATGTTTTCGAACTCTTGCCTCATACTAGAGCAGTAAGCGCTGGCATTTCAAAGCGAAATTAGACGCAAAGGGGCAATTTTTCAACAAAATTCATTGTTAAATTATGTTTCCTATGTGCCTTGGGAGCAAAAAAATATGATTTTAAATTCGGAGAAATCGGTAATTTTTTTGCAATTTAGCCTGGTATTGCACCCTACCTATGGCTATGTACTGACTGTGCTGTAAAAGTAATCAAATATACTATTTTTAATTTCCCTTCATTGAAAGGATCTACTATTGTGGACTAAACTAAATTTTAATCAGCATACAAGGCTGCAAACAACAGCCAAGAATTAGCTGGATAGTTTGCAAACTTTAAAAATTATTGGACCTCAAACTTTGATCTCCAGAGATGTTAGTGAAGTTTTTCCTACAATTTAATTTTCTTGATCGCCGTCTTAAAAATGCAAAATCATCAGTTGAAATTTCACTCGTGTTGTTTTTTCAAATTTTCGAATTTTTGTAAAATATCGCGTGCGCCAGCAATTTCTCTGCACAGCGACAACAAATTTCCCAGCTGCTTTAACACGAGTGAAATTTCAACTGATGATTTTGCATTTTTAAGACGGCGATCAAGGAAATTAAATTGTTGGAAAAACTTCACTAACATCTCAAGTATGGAAAGCATCTACATTATCAGCATTTTAATTGTGAATTGATTCAAGATTCAGGCGATAAAGTTACATAGCTAGGAGTTGGCTTTTGTGCTCTTCGAATATCCATTTTCATTCGCGGATTACCACAACTTGTTGGTCTCATGGGTGCCAAAATCGACATAAACGTAAACCGGCAACCAAGAGCTATAAAACAAATAGCTTTTCAAAACGATAAACTTTATTTAGTCAAAAGGATGAGGGTAAATAAACATGCTACTGCGTGATGATGATTTTGAAGCAACTTTGTCACATATATTTTAAAAAGTAGGATAATGAATCAAATTTTGCTTTTTCAATCCCAAAAAGGTATGAAAATTATTTAAATATTTAACGTTTCCGTTTTTATAATGTATTTTTTGGGAAAATTATAAATTTTCCCGATAAAAAAGCATAGTTTCTGCAGAAATTAAACTGTTTTTTTGAGGTAGAAGATGCTGGGAGAGGGGGTGTAGAAGCGTGGGCGGATAGCAAAAAACTTTGACGATTTCACCAAAAAATTAATACCAAATTTTGTTTTGCCTTTGTTTGATATGTAATTTAAACAAGTTTTTTTACATCTAAAAATTGCCCCTCGTGATCAAAACTTGGATTATGTTCGCAGTATTGACTATTTGTTTAGGGAAGCCTCGCATATCGATTTTTCCACGAGAAACGTCATATGTTCGTTTGGGGGTGGGGGGGTTGGCAGCTGTGACGTTTCTCTGTAAACATCATGGAAAGTTTTTATCTTTGCAGAGTATAAAAAAGAAAACAATTTGATACAAACAGCAGTCTATATATTCGTAATACCATACCTGTTCTATACCTATACATTTATATTATTACGCCTTCTTTGCATTTGAAAACACTCAAATTTCAAGAAATACGCGCTAAAATTATCAATATTTCATGCAAAAAAAGTTGTTTTGAGAAACGTTGGAAATTTTGAAGATTACATATATATTAATAAAAAAAGAGTATG